CATAAAACTACATCCCCTATCTCGGCCTGGAATGCTTTCCTTCCTCATCCTCCTCCTTTCTAAATACCCAATTTCCTTTGAGATTCAGCTCAGGTGTTAACTTTTTCCATGGTTTCCTCAGTTGTTAGTCATTCCCCTTCTCCTCTCCTCTCCAGATTACCATGTATCTGCTTTGAATGTGTTTTATGTCTAACTATATATGGGCACTCCACTGTTTGAATGCAAGCTCTTTGAGGGTAGGGACTGTTTCTTTGCTTAGCTAGCATTTATATAGCTCTTTAAGGTTTGTAAAGCACTTTACAAATATTATCTCATTTGATCTTCACATCAGCCCTGGGAGGTAAGTGCTCTTATTATTTCCATTTTACAGATGAGGAAACTGAGGCAGACAGAGGTTAATGAGTGATCTAGGGTCACGCAGGTAATAAGTGCCCTTGGATAGATTTGAACTCAGAATCTGAAATGTTTTGTTTTTGTTTTTGTTGTTGTGTCCTCAGTGCCTGGTACATAGTCAGATCTTAATAAATGCTTATTGCTATATTTATTTATTGAATACTTACTATGTGCAAAGTACTACTTAGGTATTGGAGACATAAAGACCATAGCCCCTCCCTTCAAGGACTTTACATTTTGCTGGGTCATATGAGGCTGAGGTGAATCTATGTGACAGATACTCTATCCTTCCAGTCTTTTGGGACATAATTCTGACCCATTTCCAGAGTGTCTTCAGTGATCTTCAAGGGCGTATTATGGAAATATTAACAATTTGCAACTTTACAAACAGAATTCATTTTTATTCTTTTTCAGGTAGAAAGGACCAAACCCTATGTCCATGGGACATCCAAATAATTTTCACCCAGATTCTAGATGGCAAGTGCTGACCAGTGAAGCAGAGATAGGCCTCTAGTTCATCCACCAGCATACTACAGCCTAGCCAACACAGGTGTCTGGTCAGCAGTTCTGTCTTCCTCAGACTTCCTTTGCCCCCTAATCTAGACCTCCAGTGACTTCGCTTCCTATCCTGCCCCCAATTAATCCATTCCATTTGTTTTTTTTTCCCCTTGGGAAAAAATCCCTGCCTGAAATTAGAGGAAATGAGCCAAGCTTTACCTCATCCTTCTATATCTGGCTGTTGAGTTCTTTGCACCTACCATCCTGCATAGAAACTACCTCCCGCTACCTCCTCTTTTCTTCCTCTTAGTAATCAAATCAATACAACCACTAGAAGCAGCCAAGTGGGTGCAGTAGATAGAGCACTGGACATGGAGTTAGCATAGATCAGAGTTCAAATGCACCTCAGGCGTTTCTTAGCTGTGTGACCTGGGGCAAGTCACAACCACTGACTGCCTCAATTTTTTCATCTGTAGAATGAGGATAATAATGGGATCTACTTTCCAATTGTTGTGAAGATTAAATGAGGTAATAGTTGTAAAGCATTTCACAAACTTTAAAGCCCTATGTATATGCTAGTTTTCATCACCATCACCATCATCACCATCACCATCATCATCATCATCATCATCACTTATCATCATCATCATATTAGAAAGGCCAGGGCAATCTGCTGGCCTATATTCCATTTCCAATTCCTGTGACTGTGTAGGCCAAAGTCCCCTTCCCTGGCCACCACTTTCTAAACCCTTTCTATTCCCTTAGCAGAATGTAAATTCCTTCAGGACAGGGGCCATATTTGTGTCCCATTGTGCCCAGATCAATGCCTGGCATAAGCCAGGCACTTAATAATTGCTTGGTGATCGATTGATTCGTTGAAAGTTTCTCTAGAGAACTGGCAAGTGAATCTAGGAGAGAAAGCCTTACTTCATTCCCCTTCTGACAACCCTCCTGGCCTATTCTAATTCCCAGTTCCTGGATCTTTTAGAGATCAGCTTTGTTCTGGCAGAGAGCTTAGGAATTCCATTCAGTCTTGTTAGATGGTTGGTATGTTTGAGGTGGGAAAGGGAGTTGAAGGGTCATTGGCGTTTCACGACTGGACAAATGAACTCTAGTTTTCCTTAGTGTTTAATTTTAAAAATGCACATTCCCCCCACTTTAAAGGTTAGATCTTTTGAAGCAAGGCACCAAAGAAAGCATTTATTTTTCAAGATTCCTTATATTAGAGAATTAGTTATAATTGGAGAAGCAAAGCATGATTTCCGTGGGCAAATACAACTTTGTTAAAAAGAAGGTTTCTTTATAATGGAATTGTAACAAAATTTTGCCTGTATATGGCATCTTGAGGGGCAAATAGAGAAAAGGAATCACAAAGTATACTCCTCCCAAAAGGATGAAAACTCTTATTCTAAGTATTAAATTGGAATTTTTTGTTCCCTCTTCCTTAATAGTTAGTCACCATTTATAATGTATTCATTAGATCATCAGTCTTGAGTGTCACAAAATTCCTTTGCTAAAGGCATGAGGATTTATGAAGGAAGAGACTGTATGTAGACAGTCCATGAATCACAGGCACAGAGAATTTTCTTCCGCTTAGGAGTTGTCTCACTCAGCGATCCAAGGTTGCATGGATACCATGTTTCGGAGCTGAGATTTGAACCTAGACCTTCTGATTTCAAAACCAGAAACTGCCACCACCCTGATACAAGCCTTCATCACCTCAAGCCTGGACTATTGCAACAGCTTGTTGGTTCGTCTCTTTTCTTGAGTCTCTCCCCACTCCATTCCATTCTCCATTCAGCTGTCAAATTAATCTTTCTAAAGTCGGTTCTGACTATGTCACTCCCCTACTTAATACATGCTGGGGGAGTCCTATCATCTCCAGGATCAAATATAAAAATCCTCATTTGAGCATCCAAAGTCCTTCACAAACTGGCTCCTTCCCACTTTTCTAGTTTTCTCACACCTGCCTTCCAATGACACTAACCTCCTTGTTGTTCCTTGAACAAGACTCTTTATCTCTAGACTGGGCATTTTGCTTGCTGTCCCCCATGCTTGGAATACTCTTTCTCCTTGTCTCTTCCTTTTCACTTCCCTGGATTCCTTCAAATCCCAGCTAAAGTCCCTCCTTCCATGAGAAGACTTTCTTAATTCTAGTGTCTTTACTCTGTTGATTATTTCAGTTTATATTGTATATATCTTGTTTATACACAATTGTTTTCATGTTATCTTCTCTCCCCCTTGCCCCCATTAGACTGTGAGCTCTTTGAGAGCAGGAACTGTTTCGGCCTTTCTTCGTATCCTCAGAGCTTAGCATAGGGAGAGATACATAGTAGGTGCTTAATAAATGTTTATTGACTGACCGACTAGCTCTCTCCCTTCATCTGTCATACAATGGTATCCTTGTATATCCTTCTTATCACTCTAGTTTACGTATCTAAGGGCTCATTTACATAAAATACACAGAAAATCACTGACATTAGGAAATCCAAGGAAGTCAGAATGCAATGGAAATTTCCTTCAGAGACAGGAAAGGATGAGGAGGGAGAAAGTTGCCAGAAAGGACTCCCTCAAAAAACTGGAATAGAAGAGGAGGTTCAAGAGGATGCTGTTTGTACCTAGAGTGCTAGGTTGGCATCCTTCCACCACCCTCAAGCCTTCTTTCCTCCTGGTTCGAGTATAGTTGTCTAGGAGGAGGAACAGCAGCACCCACAAAATGTACCCCTCTTCTGTGTCCTCTTCTGAACAATAACAGTAATAATGACGATGATTACAGCTGGCATTTATATAACTCTTTAAGGTTCACAAGGCACTTTACATAGACTATCTCATTGGATCCTTGTAGCTATCCTGTAAGGTAGGTGCTATCAATAATTCCCATTTTACAGTGAGGAAACTGAAAGCTAACTGACTTACCCAGTGTCACATAGCTACTAAGTCCTGGAAGTACCTTTGTTCAGTTTTGAACTTAGATCTTCCTGATTTCAAGTTCAGCCCTCTATCCACTATGTCACCGATGAGGAGCAGAATCGGGATGGGGGAGGGAGGGAAGGATGCAACAGGGGATATTTTAAATTTTACTTGGAAGTGCAGGTGGTTTTTAACATAGATAATCCCGCTTCCTAGGTCAAGTGAGTGTTTATCTTGGGATAATTCAAGTCAGAAATGTTACGGCGAAATCTCAAGGGTAGATGCTTTCCTCATCTACCCCTGATGACAGCTCTGGCTCTAAAGCTGTGGAGCCCAAGTACATGCTGGAGACAAGAGGGAAATTCTAGAGTATGCTAGCAAAAAGGAACCTTTTAGTTCACCTAATATTCTGTAATGGAATGTATCCAAAGGTGGTAAGAGTCATTTCAAAACTTTTTGGAATAACTGTTGGCAGAATTGTTTACTGTGCCAAAAAGAATGCAATACGTCTGCACTAGGCCACAGATGATTTGTAGACCCTCGGATCTCCCAGTCATTCCCAACTTCTAAATGTCCAACATATTCCATCTCTACCTAGAATCATGACATGGTAGAATTGGAAGCCATTTTGGTGGTTATCCAGGTCAACCCCTTTGTTCACAGATGAATAACTGAGACCCAGAGGAGCAAAACCAGTTTGTTAATGGAAGATTTGGGACTATCACCCCAGTCTCCTGAAATTCCAGTCCAAGGCCCTTTCTTGACACCATCCTAACAAAGCAGCCATCTCACTTTACTTCTCTCCATGTCTTAGAGATCCGAAACTCATAGGCAAGGTGACCTCTACCAAACAACTCGTTTTTTTTGGGGGGGGGGAGTCCAGATACTTAATTTTATTATTCTAAGGAACTCTCAGTATGGGAACTTCTTCCATTTGATGCAGAACTCTTCTTTAACTTTGTCTTAGACAGTTACCTAAAGCATGGAGAGGTTATAATTTGTCTGTGGTTATACACCTGTATGTGGTCAGAGCCAGGACTTGAACCTAGGTCTTTCTGACTACAAGCATGCCTTTTGTGCACTACACCATATTCCTTCTCTGAATAGCACAATAAGTACAAGAAATCAGTTTCATGTTGAGAATAGTGACAGTTCAAGTAGCACTGATAGGAAGAAATGTTACATACTCATTGGCTTACCTTGCATGAGTAATCGCAGCTACCCATTCATCACAGTCTTTAGCATCTTCTGTTCTCAACTCTAGGGTTTTCTGATTCTCGTGGTTGAAGTTAACAGTGAAATAATGCTGTTAAAATGAAATGAAAAAATCTTATGATTACCTGGTTACCTTCATGAGTAGCATTTCTATTTATCTATCAATTTAGCTATTTCTAAAGAGCTCACTGCCACATTAGCTAAGCCCCCATCCATTATGTACGATCATCTGAATTCTGTTTTATTTATCAGTTTAAAACTCTTGCTTGGGACTTGTTTTGTAAAATGTAATGGAACTGATGCTTAGGACACATTGTGAGAGGGAAACAAAACCCACAAAGCCACACTTACCAACAAATTGCAAACAAGCAGGTTGGGAATGCTGTCAAATGTTTCAAAAGGAGTACAATGGTGGAAACAAAGGAAGGAGCTATAGTGGGGAGGATTCCAGTTTGGAAATTTGAGTCAATTATAAGCTAGCTTCTCTTCATTGTCTGCATCTTCATCAGAGAGTGTTTGCTCATTCCCTTGCCTTGCCGTGCAGAGGAATAGAAGGGCCATTACTCCTCCACCCCAGGAGTTCTCTTGCCTCTGAGATAAAACACATACTCCTCAACTTGGCATTTAAAGCTTTCCACAGTCTGGCTCCACACAACCTTTGTGGACTCTGCTTTCCTGCCATATTGGCTTATATGTCATTCACCAAGCTTGGCATACATCTACTACCTTCATGCTTTTGCACAGGTGGCAATGCCACAGTGGCATTCCACATACCTCAAAGGCACTCTGCATGCTTAGGAAGGCACTCAATTTTGCATTTTCTGCTCTGATTTGTTTCAACCTTAAAGAACAAGATACCTGTCCTAGGATAAGCTTATTACTTCTAAATTCACCACCATGGTGCTAACTCAAGCCTTGATTGACACCACCTCCCTCAGCTTCCTTTCCCCTCTGACTGGAGGGAAGAGTACCAAGCTCCCCCCAGTGCCTTCCTTTATAGAAGGCAGAAACTGGACTCTCAGTTCATTCCAGTTTTCATCTCCTGCTCTGCCTTGTTCCAACTCCATAGAACAAGATGCCCCTGCCCCAGGTACCCTCATTTCCTTCCCCCGCAATGCTTTCCTGTCTCCTTTTATGTGTTGTATCCTCCTGTTGATTGTAAGCTCCTTGAGGGCAGGAACTGTTTTCCATTTTAGCTGTATCCCCAGCACTTAGTGGAATGACTGACATACAGTAGGCACTTAAAAATGTTGGTTGGGTTGGAATGAATTCCCTCCTCATCTACACCAGTTAGAATCTCTACTTTTTTTCAAGGCTCAAGTTATGTGCCGCCTCTGATCTCCTTAGTGGTTTATGTCTAGGAGATGGAGTAGACAGAACATTGGGCTTGCAGTCAGAAAGACTTGAGTTCAAATGTGAACTCAGACACTTACTAGTTGTCCCAAGGCAAGTCACTAATTGTCTGTCTCAATTTCTTTGATTGTAAAGGCAAATGATAATAGCAACTACCTCTCAGGGTAGCTGTGTGAATTAAATGAGATAATATTTGTAAAACACTTAATGTAGTGCCTTGCAGAAAGTATTCATTTAATGAATGCTTATTCCTTTCCTTCCTCCTTCCTTAATGCTCTCTCCCTCCTCCTCAAATTATCATGCATGTGCCCACATGTATGTATAAAAATACATATATATGTAAACACAAAACAGGGTAGCTAGGTGGCAAAGTGGAAAGAGTGCCAGGCCTGGAGTCAGGAAGACTTCATGAGTTTAAATTTGGCCTCAGACACTTAGAAATCACTTAACCCTGTTTACCTCAGCTTCCTCATCTGTGAAATGAACCAGAGAAGGAAATAGACTGTTTTTTAATTTTGTCTTCATAAGCCCAGTACCTCGTTCATACCAGGCATTTAATAAATGCTTGTTGGATTGGAATGGAAAAAAAGACAATACTGATGTGCACTAATGGAATGTTGATACTGGAAGGACATTTAAAATAATTTGTCCAGCTCACTTCCCTGCTCCCCTAATATACAGATAAGAACAGAGAGGGCCAGAGAGACTAGACGCCTACATTTAGTCCGTACCAATGCCAAGGAGTAGCATTTGAGGCCCCTAGCTCCCAGGCCACCGTACTTCCTACTGCTATTATGTTGAAATTGCCTGATGTATCATCACTTCCTGTCCTACCCCCAGTACCCTTCTGATTACTGTATCTACTTGGATTAGTGACTTGTTCAAGGTCACTCAGTAAATTAGCAATAAATTAGGACCTGCACATCTAAAGCTGGCAAACGTTCTTTCCACTCCTCCATGTTGCCTCTCTAGCCCTCGTGGTTAATCTAATGCTATTTGCTCAAATGGTGGCGACTGCTTTTCAGTTGCCCAGTTTTGACTCTTGAGTCAACAGTAGTTGAGATTGAGGGGTATATGATTAAAGGGTCCTATGTCCAATCCTAATGATCCACAGTCATCTCCTTTAAATTCTCTTCATAGTTTGCTTATGGCTGAAGTTGTAATACTTGGGAATGGATGATGATAGAATGGTTAAAATAAGACCAAACAAGATAGGTATCAACATTACTTGGAAGCTTTCAAATGCTGTCAACAGTGGAAGAGATTTGGTGGGAAATATCCTGCCTTACCCTGTGTTTTTCTATACTAGTTTTGGGGATAAACTTGATTTCTTATCTTTTGCCTTGAGGCAGAATGGTATAATAGTTAAGAGCATTGGATCTGGGGTCAGGAAGACCTGGGTTCAAATCCTGCATGTGATACTTCTTGGCTCTGTGACCATGGACAAGTCACAACCTCTCTCAGACTCAGTTTCCTCATCTATGAGATGAGAATGACGTGCTAGCTGCCTTGCAGGGTTGTTGTGAGGCTCAAATGAGAACTTTTCAATGTGTTTTACCATCATTATTACTCTACTAAAATTCTGATGCAAACTAAAAATTCAGTTAGCAGAGGAATCCTGTTAGTTTAGTGCAAATTAACTGAGGTTTCATTATATTGCCACGAACTTAAAAGGAGTTTGAAGCATTTCCCCTAATGTTACCTCTTCCCTGTAAAGTAGAGAGCAGCAAACATCATTATGGAAATTAAGGTACATTGGACTAGAACCTGAGACTTCATTTCTAGCTCAATGCTTTCCCCCCCCCCTTTCATTATACTATGCCTGTAGCTAGAACAGACTTCAGAATTTGCAATTATTATCAGTTAATGTCTTCATTTTATGGGTATACCATGTAAAAAGGAGATTGTTTCATATGTGACTTGCTGCTTTTAATTACTGGGATGTTTAATGTCCATAGAAACAGTGCGGTGTAGTGAAGCACAGGAAGTTGGGAGATTTGGATTCTGATCTTTCCAGCTTGAAATCCATATTCCTATGAGTTTATGGAGGGAAGTATCCTGGCCTGGTAGAGTGAACAGCGGTCTGATTTTGAAACACAGAAAGACCTGTGTTCAAGTCCTGTCTCTGATACATACAAGTGTGACTAGACAAGTCACTTAACCTCTCAATGTCCCAGGCAAGTCTCTAAGACAATGGTTTAGTTACAAAGGCCCTGCCAATCTGCATTGGCTGAGGGAACTTCCATGCTGGGAGTTCAGAAGTGATCACGGATCTGGATTTCCCTCACCTCCTTCTCCCTCTCCCCTCAAATCCTATGAACTAACTGTTTGTGTGACCTTAGGCAATTGGCAACCCTTGTTAGTTCTACCTCTACAATGCCATTTGCATCTCTTTTTTTCCCATTGCACTTAGCACAATGCCTGATACATAGTTGGCATTTAATAAATGTTTATTGAATTGAATTAACATATCCCCCACCATAGTTCTGTCCCTCATCATTTTTTGCATGAGTCATTGCAATAGACTTCTAATTGGTCTTCCTTCTTCTGTTTCTTTTTTTCCCAATAGATCTAGCCTCCACATAACTGCTAAAAGAATTTTCTTAAAGAACAGGTCTAACTATATCACACCCCTGCTCAAGAATCTTCCATGACTTTCCTTTGCATCCAGGACAAAATATAACCTCTTCCCCCTGGCTTTCAACACTCTTCCCAATCTGGCTCCACTCTCCCCAGTGTTGTTACCAATTGCTTCCTTTCATGCAGTCTACATTCCAGCCAAATTACCCAACTTGCAGTTTCCTACCGTCTTGCTTGCTATGAACTTATTATTCCATCTCCAACCTTTTGCCATTGGAAAGGCTGTCCTGGATACCTAGAATCTTTCTCATCTCTTCTTTTTAGACTCCTGTAAGACGCAACTCAGTTATTATCTCCTATGAGGAAACCTGATGTCCCCTAGACATTCATGTTCGTTTGTTTGTTTGTTTTCCCCCATCAGATTATCTTTTGTGGACCAATATTTACAAGTATTCTATTGCCTCCTTCCCTCACCCAGATGCAAGCAAGAATTATTTTTTGTTTTGTCTTTGTATCCTCAGTGACTAGCCCAGTGTTTTACACTTAGTAAAGCACTTAATAAATTCTTGTGAAATTAAATCATTTCTCTCTGGACTTCAGTTTTTTTTTAAACCTATAAAGTGAGCAGTTTGACCTGAATGGTTTGTAAGGTTTCTCTCAGTTCTAACATCCTGGGAGTCTTTGGCTCATTATGGCTTTGAATGATGCTTCAATGATGGATCAATGGATCAATGATGGATCAATGATGCAATTTTCTTCTCTCTTTTAGTGAATGAATGCAGGAGGCTTGTGATGGGTATAGCTGAGTGAGAAAGGACAAGAAGATGCAGGTGCCTGACTGAGTCTTACAAAGTTGTCCACTTGGTGGATTTGTTTTTGTTTTGTCACTTACTTAATAAACACGTATGAAATGCCTGTGTGCAGAGCAGTGGGCTAGGTGCTAGGAGAGATGCAAAGTTCAGATGAGCCACTTGTCCAGGCCCTCAAGGAGCTTTTGATCTAGCAGAGTGCATTCTTATAACAATGCAGCTGAAGCTTGGGCTTGGAGCTGCGTTCTAAAGCCCAGAGAAGTTTCCCTCTGTATCATTATGGCTTAGCACCCAGCTACCGATAAACAGCAGCCCAGGACCCTGTGTGTAAACTATATTTAGCTCCTGT